AATAGAAAAGGGTATTCTTTTTCTTTTTTTTCCCTCGTATTCCTTGCAATCATATCCATCATGTTCCCAAGGTCCACCACCAAAGAGGAACACCCAATAACAAAAATAAATGCTCACCCACCCACTCCAAACACACACCAACAACATTGTCAATCAAGTAGCCCAATTATCCAATAACGACAGAACACATTAACACAGCATTGGAGTTCCTTACACTAACGTCTCTTTAAAGGCATCAAAGGGAAACAGCCAACAATACACAACCAAATTCTTGAGTGGACACCGACCCTCTGAACAAAATCCATCAGAGTCGTTGACTTTGAAGAACTTGAACAACATTGGAGATATTGATTTTTTGCTTTTTTAATGTATTATACCTCTTCAAACGATGTAATAAGAATAACTACAAACTGTTTCATCTACAAGAAGAAATAAGAGAAACCAAAGAAAAATATATATATATATATATATATATATATATATGTAAGCCACTACCATAACACACTAACAACAACAAAAATTGCACGGGTTCTCAGGGAAACATCAGAGAACCATTGGGTACTGCTCGAGAAGAAAACAAAAGCATAGAGAGAGTTAAATACATACATACGTACATATATATTTATATTTGTATATATATATATATATAATTACGTATGTATAATTACAATGACATTTTGGATTCTTTATCGTCACTACGGCCAATTAAAAAACCTCGTTATATCCTCCACAAATACGGTTGAGGTTGTTCCAACATATGGAAAAACTCTTTGATGTTAAACAATAATAATACGTTCGGTTACAATTTTTACCGAAAAAAAAAACTTTAGCCAGATAAAAAAATACGTGAAACATAAAATGCCTTACAAGAAAAAATATAAAAAAAAAACCACTCTTCCAACTGTTCAGGGTCTTTTTTTTTCTATCGGTCTTCAGAGGAAAACAAAAACCTCAAATATGCAAGAGATCAGTATTGTACGTTAATATGGGGCACTGCTTTAACATCATTTGTGCGTATTCTTGCACTTTCTTGATCATTTCATCGTCCCTCACCCACACATCAACAGGAATGATACCATTGAAAGGTTCATCGAATGAACCCGGACCAGCATTATCCGTGTTCCACTTGTTAAAAGCATATATTCGCATCGCCTTTAACTCGAACGCGCGACGAAACCATAATGCGGTGGGCGTCATTGTGAAACGAGCAGCACGTAAGTTTAAATTGGAAATATGCACAAATGTTCCATAATTCGTAACATATTTTTTAAATCCAAGTAGGCGACGACGCACATCGTAGTCAATATCCTCAACATAAGATGGGTAAAAGTTTTCGTCAAAGAATCCTACACTGCTAATCGCCAATCGTGTCAATATGACGGACGTAAAGCAACTTTCCTTTAAATTCATACAAAAAAGTCCGTAATGTTCGGAGAATGCATTTGCCCGTTCCTTTGCGGGTGCGTAGCGTATTCTGTCTGGCAGCAGAGCTGATGTTGAGAGACTACTGTTTCCGTGTGGTGAGCGTAGCACTTTGGCCCGCCTCCCGGCCGGTGCGTGTCCACTCGGTTCACGTTGCACCTCCGCTTCCAGCTGGTCGATGCGAGCGGCGTCTTTCTGTGTGCGTGTGTGCACTTCTTGCAGCAGTCGCGGCAGCAGATCTGGCGAGAAGGTCACGTCGCTGTTTGTGATGAACACAAACGGCACTTCCTCGCGCGGGCGGGAGAGGGCGAGGCGGAGGCCCACGTTGACCGCCCCGCTGTACCCAATGTTCTCCGCGTGGTGCCGCACCACCAGCCGGCCGCTCCAGCCGTACGCGTCGAGCAGCGACTGCAGGAACGCCGACAGCTGCGGCTCCTCCCCGTTCTGCACCAGCACCAGTAGCCGCACCGGCACGGTGATGTTGCACATGAGCTCGCGGAAGTCCGGCAGGTCGAGCATGAGCGGCACCACCATCATCGGCAGCACGCCGGGGCCGCTGTTGTTCCCAACCCAACGCGACTCCGCGTCCACCAGCAGACGTTCACCGACACAGCGAAGGTAGTGGTTGGGTCTCACGGAAGGCGGGGGCTCACTGAGAGGTCGGCTCGTCAAATCACTCTCTACAACAGTGATTTGAAGTAAGAGTACCAACAGTAGCATTAACAAGAGAATCCCAAACACAATAATAATAGTTAAGGACTTCTTCAGCGGAAAAAGCATGATTTGCGTCCCAAGAAGAGAGACGGATATTTTTCGCTTCATATTCTTATAGTAATGATATAGGAAGCAAGAAATTCTTTAGATAACGTTTTGAAGAAAAAACAAAACGTACAGAAGGGAGAAACGATCCACTAAATACAGAGCAATGGGTGTGCAGAGGGACTACTACAGGTAATACGTTTCGGACATACAGTAAAAGAACAACCATCAATATCAGCACTGTATTCATATCAAGAAATATTTAGTCACCTGCCAACGAAAACTACCATTCCACCCCACCCCCTAAAAAAAAAAAAAAAAATCTTTTTCTGCAAAATGAATAAGAAAAAAAAACAGCATAAACTCAATAACAAGATAAGAATAGTCGAATACGTTAGTTTCTTTTTTTTTTTTTTTTTTTTTACCTGCATTTTTTTTTTTTTTTTTTGAAGAGACAGATGAAAAGGAAGAATAAAAACATTCTGCGTTCTCTGCATTAGTTTTATTAATGGATATCTAAAAAAAAAAAAAACTACCTCTAACAGCAAATCCGAGATGACTAATCAATGTGCCTAACTATTTAGTGGTGACGAAAAGAAGGTGTTCAAAGTGCCCTTTTAAAATGCTTCTCATGCGAGGGCGGGGAAGATGAAGATAACATATAATTTTTGAAAGTTACATTTTTACATGAAAACCATGTAGGCATAATTGAGAAAAGATAATATTGTGTATTTTCTTACCCAACACCTTGAAGTAGATCAAACCCTTCCGAAATATTTCAAAAAGGATAAAGACTCAGCAAATAACGATTCAAAAAGAAAATTTCGTAACCAGTGACCCTACGTAAAAATAAAAAATCTTACACCTCAATCTTGCTTCTTAAAGCGGAGTTGCGGACACTCACAGCAGTACCATAGTAAGAAGTTGTAGTCGAAAAGAATCATATTATCCTCATAACACCGAGCTGGCTATATCATTTTTAAAGAAAAACTTCAGTGGTGGTTGGAACGTTAAACGCTCTCCTTTTTTGACACATCTTGCTGTCTGTAACACCCAATATGTCGCATCTGAAGACCTCCTTTGAAGGCCTTGTTTAACATATAAAAGCGAATTCTTCTTTAAAAGAGTACGGGTACCTTCTGCAGTTGATCTCTGCAATGTAAGATTTCCTTTATTAATCCCTTCCGTAACAGCAACATCCACCATGGGAATTACTGCTAATATGGGCCCATCTCTTTGCACACACATCCCATCTTTTGACAAACGAAATGAATGAAAAAGTGTGTAATTAAGCATTAAACGAAATATATCAAGTGGTGGTGTAAGATTATGCTGTGAAAGCGAACGCAAAAATTCTGCCGTAGTAGAATCCTCTGTGTGATCCATGGGAACTTGTAAAACTTGTTGTATTTGCCACGTTGACCACATTGAGCATTTCCGGCAGGCATTGAAGGAGAAACAAAGTGAGAGAAAGAATACATCTAACAGGTGCTGTTTTTTCAAGGAAGTGAGAATAGCAAGACAAGTTTCTGGAGTTGGCATAAATCCCTCAATGTCATCATCGTGCACACTACCAACTGTCCAAACAGAAGTATCTGGTACAACTACCAATGGAAACGCAGAAGGAATATCTGAAGAAGTGCTAAGTGTCATGATCGGCGAACCATTGCAAGACTGCTGGCAGCAAAGGGATGAAGAAACACCTATTCCAAGAGTTTTAAGACATCTAACAAGTACTCTATTTTCTAGTGTAAATTCTAAAAGTTTATCAAATCTTCTAACTGGCGTTGTTTTCATTAAAAATTGTTCTTCACGAAAAGAAGGCGCTATAAAAAAAAAAAAAAAAAGGGTTCTCCAAGTATATAGCATAGATACTCTATTCAACCAAAAAACATAACTTATAGTCTATATATTATATTTATATATTAATATCATGATTTCTTTGTTTCTTTGCCTTTAATCGATTATTATTGTTGTCCGACAAAATCCAACGAAAGTCTTATACTTATACCCATGCCTTGGAGTTCCTGTAAGAGTAGTTTAAACGCATAGGGCACATTAACATGAGACACTGTATTCTTCGTATTACAATATGGACAGTATCCACAATATCCCAAAAACCCACATGACCGACATGTGTCAACAGTAAACAAATCCGAGCTAAGAAGTAGCCGTTCGTTCAAAAGATTTGACGCCCCATAACCTACCATACAGTCTCTCTCCATTTCACCAACACGGAGACCACCGCTTCTGGACCTACCTTCTGTTGGTTGCCTAGTTAACATTGAACGAGGCCCGGTAGCACGTGCGTGCATTTTATCTGTTACCATGTGTTTAAGACGTTGATAATATATGGGTCCGAAAAAAACATATGCTTGCATCATTTCACCTGTAATACCTGAGTAAAAAACATCCTTACCGTGATAATTGAAGCCATGCTTCAATAATTCGATCCCCATATCTTCTGCTTTATTACCACCAAACGCCGTACCGTCACCAAATATTCCTGTTAGAGCACTTACCTTTGAACTTACCAATTCTAATAATTTTCCAACTGTCATTCGACTTGGAAAACCATGGGGATTCATAATCATATCAGGGGTTATGCCTTTCTCATTAAAAGGCATATTAACACCATCCGTTATAAGCCCAACAACTCCCTTCTGACCATGTCTTGAAGAAAATTTATCCCCTGGCTCTGGAATACGAACTTCTCTTGTAACAACTTTAATTTTCTGCTCCACATCCATCGAACGCTCTGAATCCCCTGGTGGAGTTATTATCACATGGTCAACTACAGCAGGCTGAGGATACTTATACACTAACGGATTCGGCCTTGGATCAGATGATGTCACTGGAGTATACTTGTTTACCAAAATATCAAATTGACGAACAATCGCACCTTTACTGGCAATTCCATCACTGTTAAGTGCTTTACACTTTCCAAAATTAGAATCAGGTGGAAGGATAACATCATATTCTCCGTTTGGTAGGCGTTCCATGTCTACTTCGTGTTTTCTGAGAACAACACAACGACCATACCCACGGTCAAGGGCACAACGGTTGTATACCTGTGCATCCTCAATATCATATCCACTGTAGCTCATAACACATACCATTGCATTTATACCTGCACCTAATTTTTCGTAATTAGTTAGATTCATTGCTTTTGTTCGACAAAGTGGACGCTGTGGATAGGCACCTAACATAAGAACAGTGTCAGAGCGTATATACTGATTATAAGCAATAGTTCCCAACGCTTGTTTACCCATAGCAGATTGAAAAGTGTTTCGTGCAGATTGATTGTGATGTGGGTATGGAATAATACCTGCAACTACTCCCAAAAGAGAAAGCGGCTCAATTTCTAAATGTGTTGTGTATTTTTCAATATCTTTAGGATATACGGCAATAAGACAGTCATTAGCCTCATTAACATCAATAAATTCTACCAATCCTTCTGCTAAAAAATCATTAATTGTGCATTTCCCAGAAGATAAATGATCAAGGTGAGTCGAAGTAACTGCAGGTTTTGCATTATTAACAATAATGTACAACCTAACAATCCTACCACCATCACAACCTATTTGAACACTTTTTTGTCGATCATTTGTGGCGATAGAAACGTGAGGATGCAGACGCCCTGATCTTCGTAATGCACGTACACCACGACATAAGCGATTGGGGTAACGATGAATACCTATTAGTATTCCATTTAAGAAAACAGTATAATATGACAAGAATTCCATAGGGGTGATACAGTCTGCTTCCTCTACTCCAAGGTTGTGAGCGGCTGATCGTACAAATGAATCATCCATATCTAATGTCACTTGACTGAGATTTGCAAAATTTTTAACAAGACCACAACTTTCTCCCTCTGGTGTATCACATGGACAAACCATTCCCCATTGACTTGGTTGTAACGAACGTGGACCACTAATCTTTCGACTCTTTTCAAAAGAAGATGCTAAACGGGTCATCATACCAATACAAGCTATGTATGATAAACGCGAGAGAACCTGAGTGATGCCTTGACGACTCATATTAAATCGTTTTAACTCCCATCTACCGCTACTTATTGCAACACGCATTCCATTTTGAATAACTTCCATCTTACTTTCCATAAGTTGTTTCACATTAAACGGTTTAATAGTATCCTTCTTTGAAATTTGATGATCCATAGCTGTTTTCACCACACGATTAAACTGTTTTAAAAGATCCTCAAATAGTAAGCCCATAAGTGTTCCTGTTGTTTCAAAACGTTTATTACCGTAAAAATCACGCTCATCAAGCAAGGAAGAGTCCACACTAGCTTCAATCATACGTCTTACCATAAAACAAACATAAAGTGCCTTGTGGCGAAAATTCCAATCACGCTGAATTTCTCCTTCTCTTATATGGCACAATAATACGTTACCAAGAAATTCTGCGGCATTGTCTGCCTTTGATTTTTGTATATGTCTTTGTTGTGCATCATCAACTTCCCATGTAGTTTCTTTACGTCTTTCTCCAATAAATTGTAAGGCGTCATCTTGTGTTTTTACTCCTAAAGCTGCGGCTTGTTCAAAACAAGCAAATAATACACTTTGAAAGGCCGGTGTTGTTCCAATGTGTTGTGCAATTTGTTGGTCACTTTCCATTCCCAGAGCTTTTAGCATAATTACAATGGGAATATCCTCCTTGAAAGATCGGTGGACCATAACAATGCGTCCCTTCTTAAACATGACTGAACATTTTGAAATTGAATAATGCGTTTTACTTTGAACGTGAGCCACAATATTACCATTGTCATCTGCTTCAATAATAACACGATTTTTGCTTTGCTGTTCTTGCACCAAACACACCTTCTCTACACCTTTAATAACAAAATAACCACCAGGGTCAAGTGGGCACTCTCGCATTGCAATTAGTTCTTCACGACTTTTACCATATAAATTACATGAACTCGATTTTAGCATAATGGGAATTGTGCCTATTTTGATATCCGTCTCCACACAGGATCGTTTTGACCGATCACGGCTGGTGTACTCCACGTCCACAATCATGTCTCCACGATACGTAAGATCACGTGTACGGCACTCATGCGGGGAAACTGATTTTGGCAACTGTCCCTTTCCAATGATTTCGCGTGGCGGACACACACGTATATTAGTGTACCGAATAGAGAAATCAGGATCAATACTACTTTTAATTTCCCGATTAGATTCATTAAGAAGGATCCTTCTTAGCTCCACATTAATCAGATGATCAAATGATGCTATGTGGTGGTTTAACAAACCCTTCATGCTAATAAGTGCTGGGAGAATTGCCAACTTGCGTGCATTGTACGCATCATTATTCTCCACACAAGATGGAACGGACATACAGAGCCTTTTCTCTCTTTTTCTTTCGCTCTCTCTTTCTCTCACTCTCTCTCTTTCTTTTTATCGCTCTCTCTAACAAACACAGAAAGAGAAAAAGAAAAGAAAAGAAAAGAAAAAAAAAGAAGATTTTTAAAAAATGTAAAAGAACATATCATTCAAGAAAACCCATTTTCAGTATTAAAAAAGTACAACTAGAGAGGAAAAGAAAAAGGGAGATCCAATAAAAATGAGGATATAATAAAAACCAAAAAAAAAAAAAAAAATGATAGACACTACCCCAAGAGGTATTATTGCTGATGACCTGTAGTAACATAAAGGCGATATTCTTCCATAATTTGTGTAGCAGCTGCCTCAAAAGTAGTTACTGCATAGCCCGCAGAAGACACATCCATTACCGCCAAACTAAAGTCAGTTGCGTATCTTATGCGTGCAGGTAGAAAAGTCGGTTCAGCTGCAACTAAAATAGAGACCAAGAGAGATATGTACATATCGGCTGTCACATCTCTCATGCAATCTAACTTCTCCATTTCGCACAAAAGCAACTTCAACATAGTCTCCATAACACGCATAAGTGAGAGTACACTAAGTGAAAAACTCTGCAGTACATGCACCAGCTGAATTTCGTCTGAAAATTGTTTTTCAGTAAATTCTTGAAGCACTGGTGGAAGGAAATGCTGAAAACCATACACTTTCTTAAGTGTACGACAAGTATGATTAAATGCGACATTTTCCCGCTCCATCATGTTATCCCAGTGAGGAAGAAGCTTTCTGCTAATTGCTCCAGTCACAATGGTGTGGAAAGCTACTAAAATATCTTCTTTATCTTCTTCCATAAAAGAAGAACCACTCGTAGCAATATCTGTAGCTGTGGTTATAATTTGAAGAACCTTTGCAATAGTTAAATATTCATATCCTGATATACAGACATATGATAGTAACATAATCCCTACTTCCGTTTCCACATAAAGCAATGCAGTGTCTATTTGCTTCCGAATACTCAAGTTATCACTATTAGTCGTTGGTTTATATAAAACCACTTTCTCAAGAAAAGAACGAAGAATATTTTCATCACGTTTATACTGTTGAAGAAGTAAAACTTCTTCACATGTGTTGGGTGTTGATATTTGCCTCCAAAAATGTCGACTACCAAAACCACTCAGCCCAGAAATCGGAACAGAGAGAGCATCGGTGTTGATTAGAGATTTATCAACGAAAAGAACAGAAAATCTGTCATTTATAGCATACCTTTCCTTCCAAAATATGCCAACTTTGAGAGAAAATCCACCTGCACATAGCAGACTAACAGTACCTAAGAAAGACATTTCATGAGTACTGTCACTTTCACCAAAATTATTTCCACGAAAAGGAAACAAATCCACACGTGCAGTATCACCTGCAAACGTTGACATATCATCCAGACTTCGACCGTGTAACAAATGACGGCGTACAATACTTTGTGGTATTCGTCGAATGATACGCTGTTTTGAACCTCGCGTTTGTAAATAAAGTCCAGTAATATAGCGCTCTATTTCACGATTAGGAGGAATAACAAGTATATGTTCATTCCCCTCACATGAACCATTCTCAAAAAGTGTAAGAAGAGAACTCATGTGGTCTATCAACTCACGAAACAAAAATGAACGCTCCCTCAACTCATGAGAAGGAAATAGAGCTTCTTTTTCCATAACTTCAACACCATCTAAATACGTTGTTTTACTCTTTTCGTAATAGAATTAAAAAAAAAAAAAAGAAGAAAAAAAAAAAAAAAGTGGAGAGACATCAGTGCATTATAAAAATGATACAATCGAAGACACACCCACCACCCACCCAAACACAAACAAAACAATAAAAAAGCATTCTTCAAGGAACTCCAAAAATGATTTTAAAAAAAATTGTATCGGAGTGCATTATATTATTATTCGTTTTCTGATTTCTTTTTATGAGGCATTTAACCTCAGAAGTTTTCGTTTAAGCTTGTCTCTAAGAGTTTCCAGTTCGTCATTCTTTTGTTGTAACGAACACAGGGCTTCAAAGAGACATCTCTTTTTCCTACTGGAAGCTTCATCACTATCTCTGTTATCGGTTGTTTCAGTTCTATCATTATCATCATATTTACAATTGCAGTTGTCAGCATTACCGTCAGACTGACGTTGACGCCTACGAGAAACTGATGTCACTTCCGCTGTCTCTGTGATTATATGTTTTTTCACCGCTGCTTCGCCATCAGAGACTGTCACAATAGAGAAGAGTGCGCTGGAAGGATCAAGTGGGTGTTTTGCAAGACCAGCAATGGAACGCGAAGGAGAAAACGGATATGTTGATGGTGGAGAAACAGCATCTTTTGGGACGTAACAGACACTCAACAAACCGTCAGAGAGACGAGGGAACACTTCATTATGTGCTCTTCGTGTTGCGGTATTCCACCACAGCAAAACGCCATTTTCACTTGCAACAATAGCGTATTCTGGCCTAGCAACATCAAACCAAATAAATAAAATGGCTCCACTGTGACCACCCTCAAAGGATTTACGCACAACAACATTATCATCGCGTCTACTCAATGACGTCGGTAGACACGACTGGGATGCATTACCATACAGTGTTACGAAGAAAAGCGATCCAACCGCAGATCCCAAGATCAGAACATCATCATTGGGGGAAGTCTTAACCGATGTTAATGCATCGTCAACTGTTATAACTAGTTGTTGTTGACCTGTAAGAGCATCAAATATACGAGAAGTACGATCAGAAGAAGCCGTCACAACTAAATAACCAGTTTCCATAAAGACACAAGCATTAACTGACAATGTATGACCATTAAAAACAAAACGAGGTGCTGGAATCTTAACACCACGAGACACAAGTGCGGCAAAGAACCAAACCTTGCATACAGAATCTTCAGATGCAGTAACGATAAGTGACTGATCAGAAGAAATGGTAATGTCTGTCACACGTCGGGAGTGTGCTCTAACAAGGTTTATGAGCTCTCCAGAAAGTGTGTTCCATACATAAATATTGCCATTTATGGTTCCTCCAAAAATAAATACGCCGTCATGCGTACACAAAGAACATGTAATGATTTCCGATGTAAAGCTGCGCTGCAACGGCTGCTGAGTACTTGGAGAGAAGAATGACGTACAACCTTTTGACTGGTGCGCAACTATCATCCTTGACGATGAACAGTAGGTTACTGCATGACGCTCCAATTGGGAAGTTGAATACGCCCTGTAAACAGTCTTTGTACCAAGGTCGATAAGTTGTGACTTGCTATCGGAAGCGACAAACAGCATTGTGGTGGATTTGCCCTATCCTATAAAACAATATGACCGATTCAAAGATAAAAAAAAGAATAATCAGAGAAATACAATAAATTAACAAAAAAAAAAAAAAACCATTGACATGAAAGGAGACGTGATCATAGTAAAAAAAAAAAAAAAAAAAAAAATTATTTTTCTGATAGCAGAGGTCATACAATTACCCATTTCATTTTTGATCATGTTTCGTTGTTTTCCTTTTAAAGAACCCTCCGTACAAAAAGCGCTGAAAAGCGCAGAAATCTCCTTTTTTCTTCTCCATCTTCTCTTCCTTTTACAACTTCTTTTCCTCCTTCTGATTCTTAACACCTTTTTCCGATTCACGTCGCGTGTACATATAAAAAGAACCCTCCGTGTAACTCCATTCAACACTCATTGCCTGCCACTTGAAGTCAGTCATAGTGAACTTCTCAAATGCATCTGGGTCACGCAATGCAGCAACAGATCTAGCATGTGGATACAAGTCTTCCATGCACAAAATACGACTTCCCTCTGGTAGTAAACGAAAACGCTCGGAAAGAAAATGATTCACAGGCCGTGGAAGCAGTAAATTCGCAACCCAGACCACTGGAGAGGAGGAAAAGAACTCCTCCCTCTTTACAACGGAACAGAAATCGCCGGTAATGATTTCAACATCTAGAGACTTACCACAACGAGCTTCAAAAATAGGTTGCAGATAGCGCCACGCCTCCCTGGCAACAGTTGCATTACGCTCGTTTATTTCCACTCCAACACAACGAGCTCCAGTCAACAGGGCCACATGAAACAGCACACTCCCATTACCGCATCCTAGATCGTAAAAAACATCCCCCGACTTCACACCAGAGAGACGCACCAGTCGGGCGACAAAGGGTGGGAGAACTGATTTTGCGCATAACTCCCTCTTCCTGTACTGCTGAACCTGCCGCGTTACTGAAAGATTTGAATAGCACTCACGCAACTGATCTTCCACCCACTTGCAATCACACATGTCCGTCACACAGTGCAAACAATTGCTCCCGTTGGGCGTCTTACGAAGTGGCAACCTAAACGGTTCAGCAGGCGTGCCAAAACCACATTCTTCCAACTGCCGCGGCCGTTTAAGACCCGATGTACGGTCCTGATTATTCCGTCGCACATGCCTAAGCATCAGCTATATAAAAAAAAAGATGAAAAAATATATCACAAAAAAGAAAATTTGAAAAAGAAAAAAAAATTATTAAACAAAAAAGAAATTAAGAAAAAACAGAATACACAATATTACTTTCACTGATTGTCACGAAACTCATCAATTAACATTAACATCAATACAACAAAGACAATATGCAGTGATATGTGTTCTTCACAAAGCTTGTGCGAGTATATATGTGTTTCGCGGAAGTAAATATAGAAACTGGAACCAACAGGACACGTAAAACTGTAAAAAGATGAGGGTTAGAAGAGGAGAAAAGAATGAAGCCAAACACTGACGAGGCACAAATGACATCAACCAACACGGAGCCATACCAGCATTCAGCCAGCACCACTAGCACACAGAGAAGGGTATTGACCACACAATAGTAAAATAAAAAAAAAAAAAAATGGAAATATATGCACGGAAAAGAAGCGAATCACACCCCACATCACGTGCCGGCGCCACACATTATTTCTTCGCAAGCACGTGACCAACGCATCGTCCGTAGAGAGAGGAGGTGGGAAAGGAAGAACAATTAGACACTTGATCAACAAAAAAAAAAGGGAGAAAAACAAAAATGTGCACTCCCACCCCAAAAGCCATCGCTCCGTCCGTGACTGTTGCCCTATTATAATCACTTTTTGTTAGGGGGCAACAGCGCACATGGGCGGATGGAACGGTGGTCTTCGCGTGGGAGAGCACCTCCTTTACTCTTTTGCCTCATCATGTTGAGGTGGGGGAATGGCGCATGGGTTTCTCTCGCCAGCCCGCGTGCACTCGGCGCAGCGACGACGATGGGGGAGTAGCAACTCCCCCCGCAGCAACAGACGGTGGCCCCAACGAGCGCCAAAAGGGCACGCGGTCAGCCGAGAGAAATCCTGAACTATCGGTGGCGCCCACACCTGCCACTGACACAACCCCTGCAACCTCACACGGGCTCTTATCCTAGTTAGTATGCAGGTTTGCATTTGGAAAAAAAGATACACTTTCGTTTTACAAAAAGAAGTCATCACAATTTTTACAGTTAGAAGTTATATTTGTTA